GGCTGTGTGTGGGGGCTGCTTACTGCAGTCCTTGTTGGGAGCAGAAGAGGTTGGATGCTTTCTCTCACCTCTGGCAAGTAGATGCATAACCAGTGTTCTTAAAGGAACGAGGTTTGAGTTGCCCTTTTCTGACTCTTGCCCAGACACAGTGTAGAAGTAGCTCTTCACACCACTCCTCACTGGCTCCCTGTTCTTGTTTCGGCTTATCAGATCAATGAGCTCAGCCAGGTGCCTCCCCCCGTGATGCTGCTGCCAGACGACTTTAAGGCTAGCTCCAAGATCAAGGTCAACAATCACCTTTTCCACAGGTATGTGGAGATCCCTGCTCTTCTCCTGTCAACCTTCCTAGAAGAAAATAATACATAATTTTAAGAGTTAAGATTCAGTGAATTGAAGGTTTTAGATTTGGAAGGCAATTTACAAGCTCTGTGTTCTAACCCCCTTCGCAGTGCGGAAATTCAGTATCATGCAAAGAAACTATTAAAATAACTTCCAGTGTTCTCTTATACCCTTAAGTATTTGTAATAGTTTGTTTCTCATCTAGTCTGGCAATACCACAGAGTAAATACATTTAGATGCCCTTACCATTAGCTTCTGATAGAGACTCTCTGAAAGAAATATCTGAGTTTCCTAGGTGCTTCTGGTATCAGAAGATGCCATTCCAAACAGTGGCACCTATTGCTGATTTTAGGATGTCTCGAACTTATGTGAGATTTGTGAAATGATGCTGTTTTAACAGGCATTAAATCCTGGTTCTACTTAAGCTACTTACCAGCTCTATGTTTGAAGCAGGTCACTCAACCACCCTGAGCCCCAGTCTCCCCTTCTATAAAAATGGGAATAATATACATTTAAAGGACTTTACGAGAGTTTTATGAGAATCAAATAAGGTAAATGTGTGAAGGTGCTCTATTAAATGGTCAAGCTCTATATAAATGTAAGGTAATACTGTTACTTTGTTTTCTTACCTTGAAACCCCTGTTTCAGGGAAAATCTGCCCAGTCATTTCAAGTTCAAGGAGTATTGCCCCCAGGTCTTCAGGAACCTCCGTGATCGATTTGGCATTGATGACCAAGATTACCTGGTGAGAGTTCTTTTTAGGTGAGAGGGGTCCTTTCTCCCTGACAACCAGGGAATCCTTGGGCCAGTCATGTTGGGAGAAATGGGAACTTTGGCAAGTCTGATTCTTTATCTGTTTGTGGTCACGGGCATCTTCAAAAATCTGATGAAAGCCATTAACCCTGTCCTTGGGGAAACATGTAGCTACATTAAAATTTTTGCTTTCACTTTCATTCAGTCCAGATGAAGAATCCCTCCCTGCTCAACCTTTTATGCAGGGGTTTTATCCACTTTCAGACACAGTCACTTGACCATTATCCTATGACTTGCATCTCCATACACAGAGGAAAAGAGCCTCTGGCCTGTGTTCCTAGGTATCCCTCACCCGAAGTCCCCCGAGTGAAAGTGAAGGCAGCGACGGTCGCTTCCTTATCTCCTACGATCGAACTCTGGTCATCAAAGAAGTATCCAGTGAGGACATTGCTGACATGCACAGCAACCTCTCCAACTACCACCAGGTCAGGCGGCTCTCCAGCTTCACTCTTGCCCTCTCCTCTCTATTCATAGCTTAGCTGCTAGAGTATATGGAAACTTCCTATCTCTTCTCCTCCCTACAACCCATTTTGCTGCCCAAGAAGCACTTGACATCATGTTTTTGAAAACTAGGAATTTCAGAAAAAGCCTCTGTGTACCTCTTTGTGTCTGACCAAATAGGAGAAGTTAGACACGGTCCTTCTGTTTTGGTATTTACAATCTAGAACTGCTGTGGATTGATACATAAAGGCCACTTGTAGAGCAAAGTATGAACTATAGACTGAGCCAGAATTAGGTGAAGTGTTAACACCAAATACACTGTCAGGAACAAATGCAATTTTGAGGAGAAAATCAGGATAAGTGCATGGTTGGGGATGAACTGGAGGGGAGAAGCCATGATCATATCCAGTCCTAAGTGGGATTAGAGAGGCTATTCTGTCTGATCAGATTAACTTGGAATGTGGAGTTTCTGGAATATTTTGGTGAGAAAAACATGGCCTGAGTATCTTCCTACTGAAAAAAATCTCTCTCCAAGGTCAACAAGCAAGGAATAAATGAAAGACTCAAAAAGTGATTGGTTTATTCAACAAACACTGAATATCCATTATCAGTAGGCCCTCCATTAGGCAGCAGAGAAAGAGGTGGGTGAGGAAGAGGCTCTGGAGGATCTCTTGGTCTAATGGCAGAGGGTAGGAGAGCAGCATTAGCACATAGTGGAGGGTGTGCAGTAACAGAGGCATGGATGGAGTGCTGTGGGGGTGCAGAGGAAGAGCACCCTAACTTACCTGGGGAAAGAGAGAGGCACACTGGGAGCTTCAAGGAGAGTTTTTTAGAGAGATTATCATAGGAGTTGATGCTTGAAAGACTAGTATGGACTTCTTAGACAAGGTGGAAGAAAGCATTCTAGGCAAAGGAAAACTTGGAAAGGCCCAGAGCTGTGAGAGAGGTGTGTTATTTAGAAATAGCCCTGTGACTGCATTTTCGAGATTGGGCTGGACTACTGGGAGTGAAGAGTGAGCAGGTTGGAGGGAATGAGAACAGTCTCGGTGAGCAAGGACCAAGGCTGGAGAATGGAGAAGCCCTAGTGGCCGAGATGCAGAGGAAGACCTGTGGGAGACTTGTGCAAATTGAGGGCAAGGCGCCTCCAGATTCCTGCTTCGGGATAACTGGGTGTCCATTCACGAACATTTGGGAAGCAGAAAAAGAAACCAGTTTGGGGGAGAAGGCAGTTCTTTTTTTTTTTTTTTTTTTTTAAGATTTTATTTATTTATTTGACAGAGAGAGACACAGTGAGAAGGGAACACAAGCAGGGGGAGTGGGAGAGGGAGAAGCAGGCTTCCCACGGAGCAGGGAGTCCGATGCAGGGCTCGATCCCAGGACCCTGGGATCATGACCTGAGCTGAAGGCAGACACTTAACGACTGAGCCACCCAGGCGCCCCAAGAAGGCAGTTTTGATTTACACATGTTGAATGTGGGATTTCTTTTTTAAGATTTTATTTATTTATTTATTTATTTGACAGAGAGAGGGAATACAAAGCAGGGGGAATGGGAGAGGGAGAAGCAGGCTTCCCGCGGAGCAGGGAGCCCGATGCAGGGCTCGATCCCAGACGCTGGGATCATGACCTGAGCCGAAGGCAGACGCTTAACGACTGAGTCACCCAGGCGCCCCGAATGTGGGGTTTCTACCATTCCTCCAGATATAGATGTCCCATAAGTGGTTGGGGAATCGAGTTCAGGCAAGTAGAAGTGTAGATTTGAGAGTCACAGGTGAATAGATGGTGATTAAAACCAGAAATATAGACTAGATTATTGATGGGAAGTGTGTGGAGAAGAAATGAAAAGAAGCAAGGAGAGGGGAGAGCCCATAAAGGAGACTGAGTTGCCGATGCCATCCTTTGTTCTATGTGGGATTTGAGAAGAGAGGGGAGAAGAATTGGAAGAGTGGAATAGCGGGAGCTCAGGGTGCAGAGAGTTCTAGGGAGAGACTGGTCAGGAGTATCAAGTGCCCCCTAGTTGAAATACAACAATAACTACAATGAATACCCATTGGATTTGGCAACTGAGGGATTTGAGGAAGGGAGAAGTAGATTTCAGAGGAAAAATAAGGATATGAATCTGATTTCACTGGTTTGAGGTATGAATGAGAGGAAGTGGATTGACCACTTTTCTGAGAAGGCTGGTTCTGAAGAGAAATAGGCGGCAATACTGAGAGAGACAGTTGCATTGAAAGAGGAATCGATTTTTCTTTTGTTTTTTAAGATATTTATTTATATTTAGATTTTTAGATTTTATTTATTTGACAGAGAGGGACACAGCAAGAGAGGGAACACAAGCAGGGGGAGTGGGAGAGGGAGAAGCAGGCTTCCCGCTGAGCAGGGAGCCCAATGCGGGGCTGATCCCAGGACCCCGGGATCATGACCTGAGCCAAAGGCAGACGCTTAACGACTGAGCCACCCAGGTGCCCCAAAAGAGGAATCGTTTTTTAAGAATCCAAATTATAAGCCATCATGTAAGCATTTTTACTACAGGAATCTAGCCCACCAGGAAACATAAGTCTAGGTAAAATCATTTCATTGGTAAGCAGATGTAATTTCTAATCCTGGTTCTGTGACCACTCATACTTAAAGAGGGTCTAGGGGCACCTGGGGGTGCTCAGTCAGTTGAGTGGCCGACTCTTGATTTCAGCTCAGGTCATGATCGCAGGGTCTTGGGATTGAGCCGGGCTCCAAGCTCAGCAAGGAGTCTGCTTGTCTCTCTCCCTTTGTGCCCCCCCCCAAATAAATAAAATCTTTAAAATTAAGAGACATTATACAAATGGAATAAATCAGAGATGAGAGTTCACAAACTGCATGGATAATCACAGGACTCTTTAACAAGTCCCCACCACTTTGTTTTTTTTTTAAGATTTTTTAAAAAATTTATGTGCGAGAGAGAGAGAGAGAGAGAGAGTGAGTGCAGAGATGTGTTTGTAGGGGGGCAGAGAGGGAGGGAGAGGAAGAGGGAAAGAATCCCAAGTGGATTCCACGCTCTGCGGGGCTTGATCTCACAACCCTGAGATCATGACCTGAGTGGAAACCAAGAGTCAGATGCTCAACCGACTGAGCCACCCAGGTGCCCCCCTCCCCCCACCACTTTTGACTGGGTAACCTCTCTACTTGAAGTTGTCTGCCCTACCCTGGAATGGTGGTATTTGCATTCCCATCCCTGGGCTGTTCGTGCATTTACTTCTCAGCTTCTCCCCATTCCTTCCTCCCTCCTACCTCAGTACATTGTGAAGTGCCATGGGAACACACTGCTGCCCCAGTTCCTGGGGATGTACCGGGTCAGCGTGGACAATGAAGACAGCTACATGCTTGTGATGCGTAACATGTTTAGCCACCGTCTTCCTGTGCACAGGAAGTATGACCTCAAGGTAAGAAAAGGATAGTTAGGGCTGAGGGAGAGGCTCCTGATGGCCTGAGAGTGGGGAAGGGCCTGGGAGGGCACTTAGAGTGTTCATTTCAAAGGAAAGAAGACTATGGGTTTGAGTACCCATCTTAGGAGCTGGATCCTAACTATTCTTTTAGTCACTTCTGCTGACTTGGTCTTTGGGTCTCTCCACAGGGCTCCCTTGTATCCCGAGAAGCCAGCGATAAGGAAAAGGTGATACTGCTATTAGGTGATAGGGTGAGGGATGAGGGAGGGCAGACAAAGGGATTTCCTTAGGATAGAGGTAGGGGTCATCAGCTATTTATTCTTACCTTAAACCACCAAAAGGACGAGGTGTGAGCTGGTGCCGACCCAGGGATTAAATGTTTGGAATGGGCAGTGGGAGCAGCTGCTATCTCACTGGCATGGGCTATCCCATGTGGAAGGTTTGGCGAAGGATGGAGATGACGAACTTTAAGAGCGAAATGTTTACCCTCTACCTCCCACTCTGGGTTCTTGTAGTCAGGCAGCTCTTTTTGCTTAAGAAGGAGAAAGAAAAGTCAGCTTGAGGGGTCTTGACTGAAAACCGTAAGCAGAAGGTAGTGGGATGTGATTTGGGGTACCACTGCAGTGACTGAGTTTGGAGAAGCCGCTAGAGCTGAGAACGGCCTCTGGGGCAGCGTGGCAGTGTGGAGTCAGAGAGGGGCTGTAGGATCTCTCTCCCCTCGAAGCTACTGAGTTAGACATAGAGCCCCAGATAGAGCATTGCTCTCTGAGACCTTGGGGGAAGGGATATATTCCTAAGATGTCCCTTTACTTTCAGGTTAAAGAATTACCCACCCTTAAGGATATGGATTTTCTCAACAAGAACCAGAAGGTTTATATTGGTGAAGAGGAGAAGAAAGTATTCCTAGAGAAGCTAAAGAGAGATGTGGAGGTGATGATCCGTGTGCTTGGGAAATGGCTGTTTCCTGTTGCTCCCCATTCCCAGTCTGAGGGAACTGCTCCCCTTCCCTTTATTCTTTGGGTTCTCTGCATGTAGGGGAGTTGGGTATGGGACATGAAAAACCCTCAGAGGTGATGCATGGAGGGGGTGGCTAGAATCAGCTGAAAGGATGACCTCAGATACCAGGACATTGATGTACTAAAGGGCAGTGGTATCCTTCCAACCCTCAATTTTCATCCTTCCTTTCCCCAGGAGGGCCCCAGAAACTCAGGAGTGGAGGTTTAGGGGTGGTACCTGGGAGTGGGGAAGGAGATCTGAGGTATCTGACTTGTCAGTGGGGTCTCAGTTCCTAGTGCAGCTGAAGATCATGGACTACAGCCTTCTGCTGGGCATCCACGACATCATTCGGGGCTCTGACCCAGAGGAGGAGGGGCCTGTGCGGGAGGAGGAGTCAGAGGGGGATGGGGACTGTGGCCTGACAGGACCACCCGCTCTGGTGGGCTCCTATGGCACCTCCCCTGAGGGTATCGGCGGCTACATCCATTCTCATCGGCCCCTGGGCCCTGGAGAGTTTGAGTCCTTCATTGACGTCTACGCCATCCGGAGTGCTGAGGGTGAGAGAGATCCTGGAAATATTAAGGGTGTTGGTGGTGGGGGGGGAGTTGGCCTTGGGGGACTGAGACCAGGGTGGTGGGAGAGAGGCTGGTTAGCTTTTCAAAACAGATCTGACTGGATCTTGGGGAGAGGGAATTGGGACTGTACTTGCTCTTCATTGCTGGTTTCTTTCCCCAGGGGCCCCCCAGAAGGAGGTGTATTTCATGGGTCTCATCGACATCCTGACACAGTATGATGCCAAGAAGAAAGCAGCTCATGCAGCCAAAACTGTCAAGCATGGGGTAAGGGTTCCGCAAAACCTTTCCTTTCCTATCTTTTGACTCTTTGGGAACAGGGGGCCATTTGTGCCAGAGAAATGGGGTGGCAAAAGGACAAAGGGTTGGGGATGGAAGTGGTGTGGAGTGGAATGGAGGGTGGAGAGTGGGAAGGGTGGGGCAGTGGCCTGACACCGTGTTCCATACCTCCTCTCACAGGCTGGGGCAGAGATCTCTACTGTGCATCCTGAGCAGTATGCTAAGCGATTCCTGGATTTTATTACCAACATCTTTGCCTAAGAGACTGCCTGACTCCATGCTGACTGCTGCTTTATCTTCAAGGTGGCAGGGTTCTGAGAGGCTTGGGTGAATTGTGGATATGCTGATCACTACTTCTTCTTTTCCTCCTTTGTTAAATTCCAGCTACAGGCTCCTTGCATCCAGATAACTCCATCTTGTTGAGTAGGCTCTTCCTGACCCTCAGAAATACACTATCCTATCTCCCACTGTCCAGTTTTCTTCCTTTTCTCCCTCCCCTCCAACCATTCTGCTTGCTTCATTAGAGTGTTACTGTTGACTCACTCCCAAGTGCCTTGATCTTTGTAAATGTCCTGTTATTTCTAGAACATAGGAGGAGATGGGGGAAGGGGGTTACTTGCCAACTTCAGGACCTGACTGGACAGATGGACCTGGCTCAAGCAACTACTTTGGATGCACTTTACTGTGTGGGATGAACTAAGAGTGTCTGAATTTTGCTGATAACTTTATAGAACTTACTGTAGCATGCTTCCTTCCCAGTAGGCCCTGGGATGGAGGACTTTCAAGATACTACAGTTGTGGGTGCTGGCATACACACATGTGATGGGATATGCCCATCTTACACACTAATGGGGTGGGGAGTGGCGAGCCGGCTGGCACCTCACAGAGGTGGGACCCACAAGGACACTTGAAATTATGCAGGGAATTGGAAAAGGTGTCTGTCAAGAATTGACTCCTCTCCAGTCTCTTTCCTCATCCTATTTCCAACCCCCACCCCTGTACTTCTGGGTACAAGAGCCCAGAGCTGGCGAAAGTGTTCAAGCCGGGGTGAAGACATTGGACTGCTACTGCTCTTCACCAGGACCCCACACCCCTCCTGGGGCTGGAACCCTTCAGTGGGGGGTGTGGGCAGTTTTGGAGGCTGGAATGATGGGCCAGGGTAAAAGGTTCATTCCCAGTGCTAAATTTCCTCTCTTCATGTCTAGCCATCCCTGAGGTTTTATTCCCACCAGAAGGGAATATCTCTGCCTGGGTCAATCCTGGTCACTTCAAGAGGATGAAGGACTCAAGTGTGGGAACCTGCTCTACTCCTTGGAGGTGTGCACCTAGCATACTTCCTTCTCAGTCCCTTCTCAAATCCTTTCTCCAGTTGGATTTGTTATTCTGTTCTTTTCTGTCTCATACTGCTACTGTGTCTCCCAAGGGACAGATGGACTTCTTTGTCATCTTCACTCTCCACCCCCAGAGAGGAGTCAGAGCCAGGACTCAAATCACCCAGCCCCCTCCAAAGAGTTGAAATGACATGTGATAGTCTCAGAATGTAGAGGACTCTGATGACCCAGATAGTGTCCTCCCCATCCCCTGATGCCTTTGGGGCTAAGGCAACCATTCTTGCTACTCTCCACTCGATCCCCTTTATGGCTTCCACACTTTTTTTTTAACATAAAGATGGGCACTAGCAACTGGCCTGTGGGGATGCAAGGATTCTTTGCACTGTATATAGCTGGACTGATTTGTCTCACAAGAAGTCCTACAGTCATAAAGGAGAATTCCTCTCTCCCCTCCATCTTCTCCAAAGGAAGTAACAAGAGGAATCCACAGTTAAGGATTAGAGCCCTTATAATATCTTCCCATCAGGGGCCCGCTGATCTTTTTCATTCCAGCCGTCTACCTTTCCCCTGTTGAATGCAATAAAACTCCATGACACCAGCAGCTGTCGCTCTTTAGAAATTGGTTTTCTGACCATGTGGCTGATGTATCATGAGCAGTATGGTCTTCATTTTGTTGCTTCTGTTTTTCATCTTTTTTGTTTTATTAATTAATAAAAAAGATCTTGTGTATTTACTCCCATTGCTGTCACTATATAGGAAATAAACTATTGAATCCATATTCCTTCACAGACATGCCTTCCCCCACCCCCTTTCTGGAGAACCCTGTGCTTAGGGGTGTGGAAACCAGATGAAGAATTCCGATCATTAAGATGTTGGGCCCCTAACTAAGAATGTGGGGTTCTAGATCGATAGCTGTGAACTTAAAAGGTTGTGAGGGGTGTGCATGGGAATGGAAAACTTACTGTCCGGCTTTGTGGGAGTTCAGCTATAGGGGGGCCAGAGAGAACAGCTGATGTGGCGCTCCCTCTTTCCCCAGGGTTCTGGGCTTGATCACACACCCATTCCTGTAAAGGTGGGTGAGCCTCTCAGAGCACACTGGCAGGAGCTAAAATAAGGAACTGGGTGTTTCCCCAGGCTTCCTGGGAAATATGTCCTCTGTCTGGAGAGCGGGAAGAGTACAACGGGGTCCTGGGAAAGTGAAGAAAGGGACCAATCCTCCAGCCCAGAGGGGGGGAGTGAAAAAAGGGGTGGGTAAATAGAAGTTGTTGCCAGTCTGGGAGATCCAGTACTGTTTGGCCGAGGAGGTCTTTTGGCTGGTGGAAAAACCTGGCTTGATGTGGCCCCAGGGAAGTGAATTGGACTGGGGGCGGAGATTGCTCTGATGTGGGAAGCAGAACAGAGCAGAGCTGTTTTTCCTTTGAGTTTTTAACTCTATTTGAACCATAGACTTGACACCCCCAGCCCCCACCCCAAGGCATTTTTTAAAAAGAGGTATTCACTCCCCGTTCTGCACTAGCCTCAGTATCCCTGTTTGTGGAAACAAAAGTCAGAGGCACTTACCAACACCCATCCGGGAGCAGGTTGTGGGGGTCACAGAAGGTAACAATCTAGGAAAACGCAAGCGAGGAGGGAAGGGATTGAAATAGTTTAGTCCTGGGGTTTGTTTATTTTTTAGAACCAGTGCTTTTCTTACTATGACTCTTCTTCCCATCCCAAATTATTCCTCAAAGTCCCTTCTAGCAATAGCATAAGGATCACAGAAGAATTGCCCCCTTCCCCACCTACCTAAGCCGACACTCCTCGCCCACCCATCCGCCACCAGCCTGCAGAAGCTGCCACGCAGCTGGCTGGAAAAGCAAAGGGAGAGCCCCCCCCCCACCCCGGGAGGGGGAAGCGAGAAGGGTGGCGTCTAAGAGATTTAACCTCCTACCCTCGGTTCCACACGCCACCCCCTCCCTCCAAAGACTGGGACGGCTCCTCCATTTTTGTTTTGGGGCGGAAGGGCAGGGGCTCGTGGATGGAAGGGGGTCAAAGGAAACGGTGATTATCACCTGTACGGGGGAAGCGGGTGCCGTCCTCCCTCCTACCCTTTCTCTCAGTCTGCACCCCCTCTGCAAACTCCCCCCCACCTTCTCGGGGTCTCCCCCCGCCCTTGTTGCTAAGGCCCAGACCGTCATCCCAGCAACAGCCTCAGTCATGTGACCGGCAATGGCGGCGCTGACGGGAGGTAGGTGAGCCCGGCGCCCCCCACACCCACCGCGCGCCCCCCGGACCCCGCTCGCATCCCCCGCGCGCCCTCCCTGCCCCCCCTGCGCCCCCTCCTCCGCCTCCTTACCCGCGCGCGGCGCCGGGGGCCCCCTCCACGCCTGGCCGATTCTCTTCCTATCACCCTCCAGCTTTGGCCTCCATTTGGGGGTTCTGGGAACCGCGATCGGGCCGACATGCACCCCCACCCAGTGGTGGGGCTCTGGGGGCTCCGGCGAGAGGGGGACGTGGGGATTGGTTCTGGATCTTGCAGGAGGTCATAGGGGAAGGGTGGGGCTGCCTCAGTTGGTGCCCCCAGGGACCCTCGCCCTTCCCCCGCTGCCCCTGTGTGGCCGCCGTCTGGAGGGAGGGACTGGCCCTGTGTCCGGCCTGGGTTGCCCCAGAAGAATCAGAGACCCAGCATAAGCTGTGGCCCCGCCTCCCTTTTCTGTGCCAGCAGGACTTGGAGCTAAGGACATCTAGGTCTTGGGTTCCCACTGATGGGGAGGGGGGTGTTCCACCTTGGATAGACAGAATGAGCTGAGGTTCTAGGATTTCAGTTTCACTTTCTGAATCTCGAGGTGCATCTGGCCTTGAGGGGACTATGATGGAGGCACAAACAGAGAGCCGCTCCCCTTTGGATCAGTCAAGGAATTGAGGTCACACTAATGGCCCCTCTTTCTATTTGAGCTACATTTGGAGGTGTTGTAGGGACAGCTCTGTAGCTGAACATGGTAAGACTCAGGGGAAACCTAAGTCTCCTCCAGCTGAGCCCCTGCTGAGCCCCACACCTCCCTAAATGCAGGCTGGGTTGCTGACAGGCTTACTGCCCCAGTGCGGGGCTGGGGGTTGTTTAAAAGGTGACAGTAAGAACTTCGTTATTTAGGGGCTGTTGCCACTTTGTTGGCATTCCAAACAGACTTCAGCAGAAGGGACTGGGTTAGCTCTCAAAGAAGGCTCCTAGCGATAGGGACTGAATTATTTGGGAATACGGGGCAGGGTGAGGAGTTGGAGAGCATAGGTAATATTCTTACCCATGTGATCTGAGGGAGGTGGCAAGAAAGACCTCCATCTGTGTGGGCTTTTCCCTTCCTGACTTCTCTTATCTGTGCCCTAGGCTTTCTTGAGAGCCTCAGAGCTGGGGAAGAAAAGAGGAAAGTTAGCATGTTGAAGTTCCATCTTTAGCAACTTGGGAGAGGCTGGGGATGCAGTTCTGCAGAAGAGAATGAGAGGAAATGGAAGAGGAGTTTTTGTTTGGTTTCTGGGCTGCTGGTGGAGTGGGGTGAGGGGGGTATGGTAACATTTGTCATCATAACCTTTTACTCTCTACTCTCCCCCTTCCCGCTAGTCCTGGTCAGCTGAGTGTGGAAATAGAGGGATTTCTGCTGCTCTCATTGTCCATGGGCTTCCCAGGTATCTGCCTCCCAGGGGAAACTCAGCTTTGCCTTTAAATTGGTTTCCTCCATTCCATGTGCCAAGTAATCCCATTCCCAGTAACTTACACCCAGGTTCCCAGTCTTCTGTTACATGGGCTGCTGTGTTGGCGCATGTGGGAAGGGGGTACGGGGTTTCTCACTTTCCTTCCTTTTCCTTTCCACCCACCAGGTCACACAACCTACAAGTAGGGAGCAGGGACAGAGAGAGAGCCTGCATGCCAATTCTAAGCTCTTCAGGATCAAAGTGAGCACAAAGTCTCCCTCCCCTTTAAAGAAGCCAGTTTTCACCCAGAGGGAGGAGGGCGAGATTGTTTCTGTGATCTTGGGAGGAGTATAAAGGGAACCAAGACTGGTGCTTAGCTCAGATGATGATAATAAAGTTAGATAAACTTTCTTGCTCTTCAGTGGGTGCTGGGGTTTGAAAGATAAGAGGAGACAGAAAATGAACTTGGGGGAGGAGTTGGGGGTTGGACTCTGAGATAGTAGAGGTAATATAGGGTTGGAGAGGAACGTGAAGTAGGAGGCACTGATTTTGTCAAACGGGGACCCCCCACCCTGAGTCCCTTTCACCCTGGGGGCAGTGTCGTTCGTCCTGTCCAGAATGGCAGCCTGTGGAGGCACCTGCAAGAACAAAGTGACTGTCTCCAAGCCTGTGTGGGACTTCCTGAGCAAGGAGACCCCAGCCCGGCTGGCCCGGCTTCGGGAGGAGCACCGTGTGTCCATCCTCATAGATGGCGAGACTTCTGACATCTATGTCCTCCAGCTTTCCCCGCAGGGCCCTCCCCCGGCCCCTCCCAATGGGCTCTACCTGGCCCGGAAGGCTCTCAAGGGGCTGCTAAAAGAGGCTGAGAAAGAGCTGAAGAAAGCTCAGAGGCAGGGCGAGCTTATGGGCTGCCTGGCTTTGGGGGGTGGCGGGGAGCACCCTGAGCTACACCGTCCAGGGCCCCCCCCTCCCCCTCTGCGAGCAGCCCCGCTTCTGCCCCCAGGGGCTCGGGGGCTCCCTCCTCCTCCCCCTCCCCTCCCCCCTCCCCTTCCTCCCCGCCTTCGGGAGGAGGCTGAAGAACAGGAGAGCACCTGCCCCATCTGTCTGGGGGAGATCCAGAACGCCAAGACATTGGAGAAGTGCCGGCACTCATTCTGTGAGGGCTGCATCACCCGGGCCCTGCAGGTGAAAAAGGCCTGTCCCATGTGTGGCCGCTTCTATGGGCAGCTGGTGGGCAACCAGCCCCAGAATGGGCGGATGCTGGTCTCTAAGGACGCCACACTCTTACTGCCCAGCTATGAGAAGTATGGCACCATCGTCATCCAGTACGTCTTCCCGCCCGGTGTCCAGGGGGTAAGAAGACCTATGGCCTGCCTTTTGCCCTTTGGTTTTCCCCACTTTGGTTCTCCCCAAGCGCGTTCTCTGACCTAGGCAAACTGGGTGAAGGGGAGTGTATTTGTTAGATGTGACGTAGTCTTGCTGTCTCCCAGTATGCCTTCCCACTCAGTGCCCCGGAGCTAGGAGGTCCCCTTCAGGCCCAGCTTTTCTGTCCCACAACCCCAAGGCACACATGAAAATCAGGTATGAGAGAAAGGAATTGAATACTATTTCCTTGATGAACTTGGATGTTGACAACTATTCTTGGCAGGGGTGAATTCTGTGGAGATGGTGGCTCAGGTGCCGGCGGGCGCAGCAGGAAGGGGGCTAACCCTCCTCGCAGGGCACTGAGTGTTACTTTGTTCCCGATTGATGAGACAGTGGAAGGTTAAAACAGGAGCAGTCAGGAGCCTAGAGGTCTCCTCCTGCTTGACCAAGCAAGAGTAATTCTCAGTCCTGGTTTGCAGAGGGCCGGCGAAGCTCTGAAGAAGAGTAATGGGCAAATGGAACAGGTCAGGCAGGCAAAGAAGCTTGAGAGCGTTCTCAGGTGGAGAAGGGAAGGCTGAAAGATAGCTTATTCTCAGTCTTCACATTTCTGCTGAGTTATCTGGTGAGTAAGGACCGGCTACTTCCCATCTCTTTTGAGAATCCACTCGTCGCTGAATTGAGACTTGAGGGATGGAGGCAGCAGAAAGAACTTCTTTAATAGTAAGGATTTTGTCCAAAAACAGGCTCCTGCTGTCCAAACCTTTCAAGGAAGTCTCTCCTTCCTTGAAAGGCTGTCAGCCTGTTGCTGCCCTGTCAGCATTAGCTGGGGGTGCACAGACAGACAGACAGCCGGCCAGGATGACCCTCTGGTGGCATGGTGGGCCTTCAGATGCCCAGCTGCTCACTGTCCTGTCTGCCTCCCCTCCCTCCCAGGCTGAACACCCAAACCCAGGAGTTCGCTATCCTGGCACCACCCGGGTGGCCTACCTCCCGGACTGCCCTGAGGGCAACAAGGTGCTGACCCTGTTCCGCAAGGCATTTGACCAGCGACTCACCTTCACTATCGGCACGTCCATGACCACAGGGAGACCGAATGTCATCACCTGGAACGACATCCACCACAAGACCAGCTGCACAGGGGGACCCCAGCTGTGCGACCCTTCTTCATTTCCTTTCCCTTCGCCCCTCCCCTTCTCTCCATTTCCAGTGAGGGAATGACATTAATCCCCTCTCCTGCTGGGAGCCTCCTAACTGGAGAGGACCACCCCCAAACTATTCAACCATCTCTTCCATGCCAGTTTCTCTACATTCAACCTGGTCCAGTATGCCCAGTTCACCTACAAAACTAAGCAGAATTGGGCTAAGTTACCTGGGGTTTGGATATCCTTAGGGGAGGTGGGGAGGGGCTGGACTGGGGCACCCAGAATGAGGGTGAACATGAGGCTAATATGAGTAAGCTGCAACAGCTAATCCTGACCTTCATTTCTCTCTGCTCCCAGGTTTGGGTACCCAGACCCCACCTACCTGACCCGGGTGCAAGAAGAGCTGAGAGCCAAGGGTATCACAGATGACTGAAGGCCATCCCCTTTGCCAAGCCCTTGCCTTTCTCCATAGGACCCAGCGGAAGCCTCTGTTCTCCTTTCTCCCTCTGCCCCCCCACACCACACGAATAGGGGACCAGTCTGACTGGGGAAGGAGTTCAGAGAGGGAGGGCAGTCCCTTCCCCTGTCCCCCCACAGGCGAGTGCTTCAGTGCAGTGTGAACCACTCCCTTCTGGCAGAGGGATCTCCCAGGCTCTGCTCCCCTCCTCCCCCTGTACATACTCCCAATCTCCCTACCCCCTCCACTGCCCTTGGCTTTTTCTGGTATGTGCTGTGCTCCGATGACCAAGCTGAGAAAGGACCTGGGTGGGGAAGGAGGGTCTCTTGAGCCCCCTGCCCCCACAAACTGCTCCACTGCTGAACTTCGGTGTGGCGGAGGGGGCATGGGGCTGAGCTGAGCCCCCAAGGAGCTGGCCTTGTGTGTTCTTCAGAAACAGTCCCCCTTCTACCTTAACCTTGTCCTTTCTGTCCTGTGTCTCCGTCTCTGTCAGTCTGTCTCCCGCTCTGCCCCCTATAAGGAGCCTCCTTGCCCTGTTCTGGAATCGCCGCCAGACTGTAGCTTTTAATTTAATAAAAATAAAGTAAAATATGCAACTCTCTATGCCACACCCGTTCTGTTCTGTGAACCAGGGTGGGGGTGGGGTGGGGAGCGGAACCTGCTGAGGAGGGGAAGGGGGTGGTGATCGGGGAAATCCCTGTGTGTCTCCCCAGTCTCTGCCTCCAGAGCGCCTGGGGAAAAGGCACGTATTTAGTGGGCTCCTGACGCGTCCACGTCGGAATCGGGATTAAGAGGGGTTTGTTGCTGAACTTCGGTTGTAGAGAAAGCAACAACCCTAGCCCTTT